GAACTCTACTTTAGCATCGAAATTTCAAAATGGTGGATCCAATATGGCGGACACAAACCCTTTTCAACACATTTTAGCAAGATTTCGAATAAATTGATAGAATTAGTGTGGGTTTTTTTGAGAACCCTGATTTATTTTTATCCATTGCAATTCCTAAAATTAATATGGTCCATCCAATATGATGAATATATACCTTAGGTGTGATTGTCTAACGTATTAGATCCGCCTATTTGAATTTTGCTATGCTTAGCTATAAAATGGGTTAAAAAGGGTTTGCGTTCGCTATATTGGATTCGCCATTTTGAATTTTGAAATTTCGATGCTCAGAGACCCAAGTACCCCCATGCCGGTACTTTAAATTGACCCAAAATATTCTCTGAGGCATAGTGGGTTAAATGGTTGTAATATCCGCCATAATAGTAGATTCTTAATTAATGGTCTCAAAATTACTATTACACGCATTTTAGATGCATATTTTATAATATGCCTTGACAAAAGTCATTATCGGACGCCATATTTGATGCGCCATGTATTTTTCAGAGGGCCACCATTTTTCCGAAAGTTTTTGCCTAGATGAACATTTTAAGACCCCATACGTCTTGATGACCAAATTTTGGGAACACTGGTTATTCGGTTGACGTGAAACATCCCATAAATATTTTCATATTTAAACAAAAGTTATAATGTTATTTATTAGTAGTTTCTCCAATACTTTCTCTTCCTATTCCAATGATTGTCATTTTTCTTTTTTCCTGATGATGGCATTATAGTAGAAACTAGTAGGAAGGCAAATAAAACATTTTTATACTGAACTAATTTACCCCATTACAGCTTTTACATTTAAGCTGTTTAACATGTAATTTCGAGTTACTTCAGTGTGAAATTTAAAACTTAATTTTTTACAATATTGAAATAAAAATGATCAACCCTATAACCATTTTAAACACTACTAATCCCTTGCAAATCTACGGTGGCCATTCCTAACACGCCCTAATGTCGTAATTCCACAATGAAAATTTGAGTTACTTTTTACTAAGCCTTTCATGCAGCCTAGTACGTCAATCACTGTCACCGACGTGGACATAACGTTCACCACATTTTTTATTGCGTTCGGAACAGTCGCGCGTAATGAAAAATGGATATCAGTGCAGGGCCCCGGGGGACGGCCAAATGAATATTTAAAAATTCATCGCGTGCGCAAAAACTATATTAATAAAAATCGCGCTTTGTTTTACACGCGGAAAATAAAGGAAACGATTAAAAAAGCGTGTGTAGCTCCCCCGACTTCTAATTAGAGTGATTCATGGCGGTCGTAATTCAATTTCATTGTCCTGGGAAGGAACAGGAAGCTTGCCTTATAAAAATAATTTTCTTATTAACGAACTGCAGTCCTTGAAGGAATTAACGAAATAAATTTATTGTAGAAATTCCGATAACAAATATAAATATTTCTCTACGTATAATTTTTTGAACTTTTGATGCATCACGTTTCATCACGTTTTATTAGTTAGGTAAATATCCTCGTTATTTTTATATTTTAACAAACTGTCTCCTGAAAACGATTCGGACTACAATCCATTCAAGCCAGTGGCGGCTCGTGGTATCTTTGGTAGAGGAGGCTTGAAATGAATGAAACTTTAAACTTGTCTTTCTTTTCTTTGAGGGCAGGTCATCGTTAAAGGTTTCGTCAATGTCTTCTAAGAAAATTGCATACAACATGTTGAAATGTATCTCATTATTACGGAATTATTTTAATTTTGATAAAAGTGAATTAATTCTCTTTTTAGAAAATGTTACGTCAATTAATTTATTGTGCAAAATTTGGAATACAAGTTTGCTCAAAAATCATTGTAAAGGTTTTTAAGAAAAAAATGAAATTTTTGTCCAACAACAATTGCTTTAATCCATAAGCGGATCCTAAATTTTATTGATCAAAACTTCAATAAGTTTCTTTCTATAAGTTTTGACCGTAAAAACAGGTCTAGAAGAAAAATTCCAACGAGTGGGAGCATTACTTGGAATCCTGTGTTGCATTATTTTATTTAATGCGTCAGATCTTTTAGTAGATGTGGAAAAAATGAGGAAAATCTAGAAATATTTGAATAAAAAATTCTCCATCAGCCTTTCCGCATAACTGATAGTACTAAATCCTTTTAATAATAAATAATCTACAATGTCCATGCAACTAAAGAAGTTGTTGAGGTTATGTCCGTTTTCTGCACTCATTTTATTTTAATAAAGTTAAGTACTACCAGAGTAAAATGTAAATGTTTGTTTTACTAATTAATTATGATCGTCTCGCAAAAATTCTCAAGAGAAACTTCACATAAACACCAGTTAAAAACAAAAACGCGCATACCATATCACAGATGACCAATGTTTTTATTATGAAATGTAAGTTGTAACATACAACTGCGTGCGAACTGCGAGCGCCGAGGTGGTAGAGAAGAAGGGCTATATTGAAAGATTAGTTCGTTAAAAAAAGTTGGAAGGTGGCAACAAGCCTCCGTGTCGACTGGTTAAGCTCGAATGTAGATAATCATTGGCATCATTTTAAGGTCACGCATCATATAGAACTCTGGTAAAAGGCTTGGAGGCTTGAGAAAGTTAGCTGCCAGCGACTATAATGCGAATTCGGAGGGCGCGAAAAATGATGAACATTTCAAAAACGTATATTTACGTACTCGAGATCTCCCTTAGTAGGTACCTAATTAGTTGCATATGAAAATAGATTTGTAAGAAAATTTCTTAAATAATGTTAATAATATGATGTAAAATAAAAAAACTAAAAGAAAACTTGCAATACTATCAAAAACTGCAGAGGAGGCTTAGCCTCCCTAGCCTCCTCCAACGAGCCGCCACTGATGCAAGCGCGTATCCAAGGGGGGGGGGGGCGAAAAATAAATCAAAGATCAAACAGAATAAATATATAAAATACGCTATTTAAATTAACTTTCTAATATTTTTATGTTATTTTCTAATTCGTTGATTAAGTAGTAGTTCTTCATCCAACAATATCGCAAGTAGCAAAGCTTCTTCTTCCTGTAAAGTACACAGTTTTATGCACTAAGATGTACTTATTACTATACTGGTTCGGAAAGTCCCCATGGTACATCGGCCGTTACGTAAGAGCGATAAAGTAAGTCATAGAAATCCGTGCGATAAACAAGGATGGTTACATTGAAGACGTTTCATAATCTGAATAGTCACTCCTAATTCCAACACGAAACGGGCGGTGACTATTCACATTATGAAACGTCTTCACTATAGCCATCCCTATCTATCGCACGGATTTCTTTACTTTACTTTGTCGCTCTCATGTAAAGGCAGATGAACCATGTGGATTTTCCAACCCTGTAGATAAAACAAGATCGCATGCAGTCGCCATAACGCAAGTGTGTTCTCTGACAAAGGCGATCACGATCGCCATCGCCATCGCGATCATGGTCGTGATCGCGTAGATGTGTGTGTCCACTTAAGAGATGAGGAAATGGGAAATTTGTTGAATAGTTGATTAGCTGAAGAAAAACGCTCTTAACTTCTTTGTATTAATATTTTCGCTTCTAGGTGCTATTTGGGTTTTAAATGTTAAATACTTGCCAAATTAATAAATAAAATTAATAAGTTACAAAATATTATATGTACATATCTGTGGTGCGAGTACCATATACGAGAAATTGAAAAACCTCTTTATAAAATTAAAATATTGTATATTTATATAAGACAGGATGCTACCTATTATTATTATTATGTATGCTGCAATAGCACCTAGATTTGAGCTAGTAACTCTTAAGCAGTAGGTTTCCAGTAGTGGAACGAAGAAAAAAGGAAAAATCTCGTCATTTCAATTGTAAATATTCTACCGACTCCCACTTGTTTTATTTGTATGCTATGTAGCTTAAATATTTTTTCGATTGATGTAATTGTAAGAAAAGCAACCGTCTTAACAGAATACTTAATTTGTTTTTGCAAAATTAATTCAAATAAGATATTATTTACTTCCTGCGAATATCATCTACTACATTATTTATACATGTAAAATGGAATTTGCGTTTCAATTACAGTGTTTTTGTTAGGACTGAATTGATTTGAATATTTAACTTAAAGAGTAGATAAAATATGGCTGGTACTGACAGACGATCGTTTTTCCAGAAAATTTCTTTAGATACAGAATATCTGAAATACAATAATAGGGTCTACTTAATGATTTATTTGGAAAAGAGAATTACTTTTAAGATATGGTAACTGCTGTTTGTTTATAAAATATTGTCGACTGTCTTTACAATTGGATATTTAATGGTGAGGCACGGATGTAATAGCTGAAAAAACTTGTAGGAAAATTATGAAAAGTTATTTATGTAAATAGCAAAACATAAAGTTTAACAACGCACCCCTAAGACATGTCTATTTTCATTTTCGATATTATGAACATTTTTTAAGAAAAGACTCGAATATTACTCGTATACAATTTTTTTTAAATAAATTAATAACAAGGCGGCTCTTTTACCCGTTAATAATCGTGTGTAAGTCCAATGAGAATAGAATACTCTTTATATTTTTGTCTGGACAATAAATGCGTTTTTATATTTTTTGTAGTGAAGCCCTGGAGACAGTATAAAAGGAATTTAATTATAGCGAAAATGAAAGTGAAGAGCTGTACTAATGCCTTTTACGACAATTCTTCTTCAATTGTCACGAAAAAGGTAAGGATTAATTTTAAATGAAAAATACAGGGGTTTTATATTTTAATTATATCTCTGAGAGAACGGAATACTCTATTGTCATATATCTAATACTTCAAAATGATAAATAATATTAATATTAAGCAGACTTTAGATGTGAAAAAACATAAAAGCATTTTAAGAAATGGAACCGTTAGGCATGTAGATAATAAATATAACGTAAAATTGAAAATAAAAAGTGTTACGAAAACTAAAAACTGTTTTCATATCAAAACTGCAGTGCGGGCTGGCTTCTTTTGTAAAATAAAACTAATAAACTAAAGTACAATCTTTATTTGTATAAAAAGTTTTATATCTATACAGTGTCTAAGCTTTTTCTTTGGGACCTGAAATTAAACAATAAAATTTAGTCAATAAAATTAAATTAATAAATATTACTGTTACAATGGATTAGTTCGTCAGATTAGTGCTTTTGAAACTGTACTAAAAACACCCAATGGTTATGTTATTGCTTAAATCTAAAACATGCAATAGATTTTATTCCCAGAACAACATTAATGATATTTATGCATAATACACAATCTGTAGTGAAAATCTAAACTTGTATACCGGTCTGGCCAGGTAATTCTTTCTCATAGACTAAGTAAATTACACGCATTTCCCCTATCAACTTCGGGTGAAAGGGGTTGGACATGACATAATATATCATCGAGGCTGCGACTCGGACTCTCGTAATTGGTTGACTGTGGGAGCGCACGTACCCCGTTGCATTTTTTGTGAATCGACTGAATACTTGAAGCACTTTGCTGTTTGTTTAGTTTTCTTTTTATTATTATTCCACTCAAACCTTTGGTAATAAGCAGACGGAATATTACAAAACAAAAATAGTGTATAGTGTCGAACAAAAAAATAATATTATTAAATGGTATTATCGTGCAGAAAGTGCAGAGGAAGTCGTTGGTCGATTTATATGTATTTTTATACCTCGACGAACCAGTTCCCACTGCTAGAACTGTTTTGAAAATTTTTTATTTTGAGGAGTGTGGATGAAAAGTAGCAATCAGGAACCTCGTCAAATTCCTGAAGCAAGGAGAGAAAAAGAGGTTAATGTCTATGCTTTTGTGGAAGTAAGTGGGCCGTGTTATTCCTCCCAAATTTCCGAAGAACTTGACATTCCAAGTCGTACAGTTCGTCGCATCTTAAAAAAGAATGATTACATTGCCTATAAAATGCAAACTTGTGAATCAATTAGGGAAAAAATAGATGAAAATAATAAATTTGCTAGGCAGATTTTATTTACAGACGAATCATCTTTTTCCCTACGTGGCCATCATAATCCTTCAGTGGTCCAATATTGGTCCCGGGAAAACAAGCATTTAAGTATACCATTAAGAACACAGTACCCTCAAAAGGTAAATGTTTGGGCTGGCATTTTAGGCGGTAATATTGTGGGTCCCTTTTTTATTGATAGTAACTTAAATGCTGAGAGATATTTGTATTTATTACAAAATAGTGTTGTACCAGCTGTACAAAACTTGGATGTAAATTTTGAGGAAATTTGCTTTCAGCAAGACGGATGTCCTGCATACAACGCAAGGCCAGTTCAAGATTATCTGGAACAAACTTTTCCTGAAAGGCTTATTTCCACAAGAGGTATCATCCTCCTCCTCTTCGATCTCCAGATCTGACACCCTGCGATTTCTTTTTATGGGGTCATTTAACGCAACTTCTCTATAAACGTCGACACGAAAGAGCCGCAAATTTGGATGAATTACGGCTTAAAATTAGAAATATTTTAGGATAAGTTACTCCTGAAATTTTATCAAATGTTCGTCAAAAATTTTACGACAGATTAGGGTATCGTGAAGCTCAAGCAGGTGGTTTATTTAAACACTTTACTAATTAATAAGCTTTATTTAATAAGCATTTGAAAATAATTCATTATTTTGCTTAAAAATTACCAATCATTTTATTTCAGAATACCGTTTTAGTTTTTACTAAAGGTTATAATTTAAATAATTTGTAATAAAGTTGGAATGCTTTAGTATGGTCTCAAAATTTCTTATCATTCTTGTAAAAAATGGCGTAGAAATAGAGTACGTATGGCAACACTGCTGTCAATTCCAGGCCGTGGCTTATACTCTATGCCATCGCAATAAGTCACGTACCTAATTATTAGAGAGCGGACAATGTGTGACTTTAACCCGAAGAATAGGTCAAATTTTGGTAGAGATGTGTACGCGTTCAAAAATGTATTGTGTATAAACTATGCAAAATATAATTATTATGTATAGCAAATATATCGTATTATCCTCGCGAAGATTTGTACCCTTTATTTAAAATCTATAAATCATGTGAACAGGTTAAATAACGAGAAAATAATTAATTTAATTTAGTTCATTTAAGAAATGAAATGACACTCGCGCCCATCTCTAGTCCATCCATCGACATCGGTTGCGTTTATCGAATTCCTATTGGTCAGAATTAAAACTGCAGCCCTGTTATGAATGGAGCGTGAGTTGGACTATTCTATCATGTGCGTCGCCTGAGGCTATTCGTTACATTGACTCCTAATTTCCAATTAAAAGAACGACACTATTTTTAACCGAACTTTATTTAATAAATATGTAGTATACAATTTCTGATTTTCTAAATATTTTATAACGTCTAAAAATGTATGTACCGTGGAATTTTCGTGAACTATCACGTAAATTTCCGATGCATACCCGACACGCCACTGCGTCATAGGTAATGTATCTAGGTTTATGAATGACATATCTATGTTCAAGGTTAAAGTCACAAATTGTCCGCTCTCTGCTAATTATTGTCCAGTATTCTATCTTCCGTATATACGCATCTTAGACGTACGTTGTTCCCAAATTCATAATGCAAGACAGAGACAGTAAGCCAATAGTCAAGGAGAGCTTAGAACCGCAGGCTTTGCGCACTTCTTATGGCGTTTTTTTATTCCCTTGTATCGATGGTATAAAGTTATACAAATGATATGGGGGCAGAGTCAGAATTATTAGGGGAGACTGGTGAATTATTTATATAATTTACTAACTTTGTATCGGAAATAAAAATATGTCCAGACCCTGTATACAGCCTTTTATACTAAAATTAGTATGCCTATAACTCGAAACAGAAAAAGACATTAGTTTAACGACACTACCAAACGATATTATTCGCAATTTGCTAGTAAAATTATATCCCCTTAATAGCTGCTTAAAGCTGACAGTCGACTGTTTCAGAGAACGAGAGTAAATCCAATCATCTAATGACACACTAAATGTCAAACGGAGCCACATATGAATAATCGTAAAGTTGTATTTATAGCAAATCGACATTAAGTATGGCTTAATTGAAATTAGTCCAAAATGAAAACGAAGTTTTACGACATGCTTGACCCAATTTGCAAAATAATAGAGTTAGAGACATAAATCTTTGGCGTCTTTCAAAGAGCTCTTACAGTTAGTTATTCATTATGCACTAATGATTTCCTTTTAAGTGTCGAGGAAATTGTGGAAAAAATGGAATAAGTTTGGATTTAAAAGCACCACTATGAATTTAAATGTTCTTAAGTATTTGAATATTCACTTACAACATATTGACAGTCACTGAAACTGCGAAATGAAGACAGCAGACGAAGGGATGCTATTATTAATAGTAAACAAAGTCGTTTATTTTATGATTTCTTAATTATCTTGCTGTATTGCTTCAGGCATATGGATTAGGTAAATTGCATATTTCTATCAGTTTGTTTCTGCAGCATCTCAAACTGTTTTCAAACTATCGTCCACTTAAGTTGTCACGTATTTTCAGCGAAACCCGAAGTGGTCAAATATCTCAGATAGTTTTAATTTGGTTCTTTAACTGATGTGAAACAGACCTATTATACAGGGTGATTAAAAAACCGCTGACAGACTTCTAGGGTAGGTAATACATGTCTTAATAAACATAGGGTCGCAAATGCCTCCTTAACGAGATACAGGGCGTCAAAGTTTCTGTAAAATTAAACATTGTCTGCAATAATTCCAAAATGTCTGAATTTTTCTATTTCCAATTTGCTATGCGTAGTTAGCACCTTAAGACCAATGTTTGATGTACTGCTCAAAATTTTATGTGCAGCAGTGTTGTAGAGACGGGGTCAACGTGACCCTTCTTAAAAATATTTTCTACGCCACTTCTAATTTAGTCAAACCGGCACTATTTTCGTGTAAAGTGTTCAATTGTCTATCGAATTGGTCTCTTGCAAAATTTTTACTAAAGCAATCATTTTTAAGAAAAACACGTTTGTAGAAAATTTATGAATCCAATTTTATTTTCATTCATTTTAGTTTCACATAGTAGGCTTGTGCTATTCAAATTAAAATTAAACATCGGCTGTCACTAATGTCAATAATAAGTGTACAAGTGAGTAAAGTAAACTAGCTTATAAGATTCTTTTTGTCATTTTTACGGTTATTTAAATTACTTCAGCTAATTCACTATTTTCATTAATAGTATGAATTACGAATATTCATTTGAAGAGATGGCACATATGCATCTATGTTATGGGAAATTTTGTTTCCCTTGATACAGTTAGGCGGTACAGAGAAATGTTTCCTGCACGAAGAACGCCAAATCGGCAAATATTTGATAATATCGATAGAAGAGAGAAACGGGTAAATTAAATGCAACAAAAATTAATTCTGCACGACGGCGTTATGCTAGAACTCCGAATAATATGTTAAGTACCCGACAAATTTCTAGAAATTTAAACATATTACATTTATCTTTTTGGAGAACACTTTGCGAACAATAATTGCACCCTTATCACTTTCAACGTGTTCAACATTTACTACCTCAAGATTACCCACGAAGACTAGAGTGGTCACGATGGCTGCTTGGCATGCTTGCAGAGAATCCCAATTTTTCCGCGAATATCTTATTCACAGATGAAGCATCGTATACGAGACGAGAGATAATTAACTTCCACTATAATCATTTATGGAGCGACGAAAATCTTCACGCCATTCGAATAACAAATTTTCAGCATTAGTTTTCAATTAACGTTCATGCTGGCATTATTGTCGACACGCTCATTGGTCCTTTTAGGCTACCAAATAGACTAGATGGCCAGTCTTACCTTAATTTTTTAATGAATGATTTGAACAGCTTGTTAGATGAAGCACCACTGGATGTGCGGTGGAGCCTTTGATTCCATCATGACGGCGCTCCGGCACATTTCGCTCGACAAGTAAGAGATTATTTAAATATGACATACCCTAGACGGTGGATTGGACGTGGTGGTCCAATCCAGTGGCCCGCCCGTTCACCGGACTTAAATCCTCTGGATTTCCTCACTTGTAGTCATGTTAAGGAGCTGATTTACGCAACTCCAGTA